ATCATTTTCTTCTAGTACTGGATACTCATATAGCTAATTAGAGAGGTTTCAGGAGGGTAGGTAAAGGGGAAATTTTCAATGAGCATTTTGAAGAAGTGATAGAAGAATTTTCCAGTTGATACTGATGCAGAGTGTCTCCTAAGGAGGTGTAGACAGGTAGAAAAAGCAGCCTCTTGAGTCTAGACACGGTATGGACAACTTTGCACCTCACCTCTCCAACCTCATTATGTCTTTCTTTGGCCCCTGGAAATTACATTACTTTTCCTTACATCAGACTTGTCCACTGAAGTCTGTACCTGATTGTGACAGCTTCTTTGCAGCCATCTCTACCGATTTCATTAGAGAATTGAAAACAGGAACAGAGGGGTTTTTTTGAATTGGGGAAAAGGAAAAAAAAAAAAAAAAAAAAAAGAAGAAAAAATAAAACACAATAGAATGTAATCAACAATAAAACACACTTCTCAGCTGTGTGTTTAAGCAGCTTCCAATGAAGACCATTGCCAGAGCTGAGGAGTTGCCTATAGGGAGTATGAAAGAAAGACTATGGAAAGACAGTTGGGCTTTACATCCCTGAAGCACAAAGAAGGTTGATATGTGAGACGGATCTGAAGGATAAAAGAGTAAGAGGAGGAAAACCTCTGGGTAACAATGGAAAATGTGTATTTCCAAAGAGGCTTCTGAATAAATAACTTCAGATATAACGAGGTCTCTTCAAACCCAAAGCATTCTATGATTCTACTTTTACTGCTTTTTTTTGTGTGTGTTTTTTTCTCACAGATTCCTCCCTGCAGGCACAGAAATGATCCCTTACTTTTCCCCAGAGCCATCCCTGCTCCCCAGAGAGCCTTTCCCCACATGAGACTTACAGTTGTGACTATGTTGCAGTTACCTTAATAAAACAGTTTGAATCCTACAATATTATTTTGATTTTAGTTTAAAAGTATGATTTTGATTTAACATGAAGCTACAGTAGCTGTGAAAATATAAAGTACACTAAGGCCCTTAAGATTAAGCAACTAGCATGCTGTGTGCCTTGAACACTATAACAATCGTTATGGACTCTGAATTAACACAATAGGTACTGGTTATGGATCTTGACTTGAAACAATAGGTACCAGAAGAAACTGACAGCCAATCATTATTAAGGTCAAACTAAACTCTGTGAATTTTGTTGATCTTATGTAACCATGACTCTGCTGAAAAAGTGTATAAATATGTTGTGCTTTGGACCTGTCGGGGAGCACGTTTTTCGAGCTGTCCCCCGTGTTCCCCAGCGCTGGAATAAAGAAATGCCTGCTTATCTGCCTTGTGTAGGTAAGTTCTATTCATGATTGCCACCACTAACACTGCTGCCAGCCCCTTGTCCTCCCCAAGCACTGTCCTGCTGTCCTTGCAGGGTGCTGGGGCCGGGGGCCTTTCCCCCCTTCCCCAGAGCTGGCGGGGGCCCCCTCACTTTGATATTCTCTGGCAGCTTGTATCTATGGCAGAAGACATTGAGGCCCTGGGACAAGCCCAGGTGCCTGGCGGTTCTGCACAGGATGCAGATGCTGTCCAGAAACTTCATCTTGTGGCCCTCCTCCTGGCAGCCGGGGACAGAGAGACAGGCAGGGAGCGTGAGTGGGGGGACACATGGCCAGCAGGACCGGAGCGCTGGGGGTGCAGAGCCGTGGGGGAGAGCTGGGAGAAGCAGCTCTGCCCAGCCAGCACCCCTCCAGCAGTCCGGCAGCAGCAGCAGAGCCCCTGGCAGCAGCCGCCAGCACAGCCGGCTCTGAAAGGGCCGCGGTCACCTTTTCTGGGCTGAGGACGAAGACGCGGATGAAGTACACGTGTTCCTGTTCCTCTCGGTACACAGGCAGCCAGCTGACAGCTCCAGGAGGAGGAGAGCAGGGAGGGCTGTCGAGAGAGTGCGGTGGCAGGAGAGAGCAGAGGCAGGAGCTCTGCCCTGTGGCCGGCCCCACACCCGCTCCCCTGGCACAGCCTGCCCGTGCGTGGCGGGGCTGGAGGGTGCCCAGCAGAAGGGCTGCGCTGCTGGAGCACAGAGCGGCGGGGAAAACCCCCAGTGCCGCGGGCTGAGGCCCTCGCTTGCAGCCGGACAGGAAAGAGCCCCGTCCTGCAGCATTGTTGCCTCCTGCCAGCCCAGCTGCCTCTCACTGCCCGTGCCCCGGGGCAGGAGCTGGGTGCCCTCTGCTCTCTCCCTGCTGGGGCGAGGCTGTGCTGGGTCCAGCCCCCAGCCCTGAGAAGCCCTGGCATTCAGGCAGCACCGTGTCCCCCACCCGCGGGACCCCCGCTGATGGCAGAGGGGGGAAAAGTGCTCCTGGCATCGAGCAGGGTGCGCTGGCTGTGCCCTGCCCTGCCTGGAGCAACGGGGCCCCCACTCACCGATCTGCAGCGGCTGCACCGTAGACACCTCATGGGGCTCTGGCGGAGAGCTGCTCTCCTGGGGAAACCTGTCCTCCTGCTAGGCCACCCTGGGGCGGCTGGGGGGTTTCTCTGCCATCCTGCAGGACGGAGGGAAGGGGCAGGGGTGGGCAAGGGGGAAGCTTCAGCCAAAGGCCTCTGTGCTGTGTGGCTGCTGGGGGTGGCAGGGAAAGATGTGGGCTGCGTTCGGGGACTCCTCGCTGGCCCCGTGCTCCTGCCCTGTCCCGTTGCTGTCCTACCAGACACTGCGGGCTGGGGGCCGCCCACGCTGAGCACACGCAGGGCAGTGGGGTGTCACAAAGGGAGGTCACAAAGGGCCCCACGGTGACCCACCACCCACGCAGGGAGGGGAGGGTGTCCCCTGGGGGGGCACAAGTCTGTCTCAGCCCCGTGTTTCCCAGAAAGCGGTTCTGTCCCATTGTGGTGGTGCAATCCTTTCCCTGCTCCTTTGCTGGGATGCTTGGTGCTTGGTGTGATTCCACCCCCCCCTGGGCCACACACCGACCCAGGGTGGTATGGATTGGAAATGGCAGAGGAGCAGAGTGGTAAGGCACCCCCTTGACGTGCCTGGCTCCGGCTCTCCCTGTCACTTGGGAGCGGCAGTGACAGTCCATCACCTCTTGACAGCCTGGTCCATCTGTTCCTGGGACGTGGCTGAGGGTGGGCAAGAACAGAATTGCATATCCAGCAAGTTCTGGGCCAGTGCAACTGGTGGAAAACATCAGAACATTTCATCACTCGAGTCGGGCCAGGGTGGAAAATTACCTGATGAAAGTCAATTATCTTGGACCCCATAAGTAGTGACCCCCATTGAGACCCTTTAAGCTCTCCTGCACTGCAGCGGGTCTGTACCAGCATCTCCCCTGAGTTGGGACACCTCTCAGGTATCAACTCCTTGAAGTACCTTCTGCTGTCGAAGCCAATGAAGGGCCGAGATGAAGTTGCCCCCCTCAGGTCTCAATTACTGCCCATCTCATTGTGAATAGTTACTCTACACTTGAGAAGAGGAGGGAAATATTAGCTGTAGACTAACTTCTCTCACCCACCTCTCTACTTACCTGTGCTTTTGGCTATACGCAGTTGTTTTTACGAGTGTGGGTACATACATATTTCACTGGATCCAAATATTTTTGTCTTTGTGTTTGTACATCTTGTGTTTATGAATGTACATACACATGCACACAACACACACACACATATATATTTAGGATACCTTATAGTAAGTCAGTGTGATTCATGTCATTTTCGAATCTGTAGCTGAGTCATTATTTTAATCATAATATATTTCACTGAATTATTTGTTAAATCCTTAAATTGGTTAATGGTTAGTTGCTGCTGATCATTAATATATCTTGATTTGCTGCTAAATCATTACTGTGTTAAAATTTCCATTCGTGACAAACTGGCGTAGTCAGCAGGTTGGCAGAATAACCAAATACTTGCAAAAACATGGTTTCTAACCAAATCCCACCTTCCCAGAAGACTGGGCTTGTAGTAATTAGTCTAACTGAGAAGAGGTAGAAAAACAGTTAACTGATGCCAGAGGTACAAACCAAATTTGGAAAAGATAAAGGTACATTTTGTAAAATGTTGGGAGTGTGCCTAGAATCTGCCTGCCAGGAATGAGGAAAACTTAACTATCAAATACAAGATTTACAGGCTGAGACTGCAGGGCAGAAATCTACCGAGCTGCTGTTATCAATTAAAATAGAACAATTACAAAAAGAACTTAAAGAACCCCAATTAAAACAACACAAACTGGGACAACACAGTGAAATGATGTTAATGCAGTCTCCAAACCCCCCTGATATAGTTCAAATCAGAAAATTGTGTCTCCCTAAGACTGGGATGGTTATATTTGGAGTGTTTGAAATAATAACAGCTGAGATGAAAATAATTCTTTCCACCTGCCTCAGTCCTCCAACTTGCAATTAGACCAGTTATTAAAACAGAAGAAACAGCAGGACCTTGGAGTGTGAGAAATCATATTAGTAAAACAATCTCATTTGGTGCAATTCAGATAGCCAATTTACAAGACCATTACGAGCGTAAACCAGCAGAAACTGAAACTGAATAGCTATGGGGAGTGTCTCAAAACGGGGAGGCAGATAGAATTCTGCTAGACGGAGATGAGGCTGGTGGCTATTGGGGTCCTGGTGTCTTTTTGAATGCTGGCCCCAACCCCCAAATGGCCCCCACTCACTAACCAGCAGAGTGGCACATTGGGCTGGTGGCATCGATGTCTTAGAGAGAGGTGAGCCTCTATTAATACCTACCAAATCTCTAAATGAGCTCTCCACAGCTTTTACAAAGGCTGCCTATATTCAAGTCATGCATCAGCGTGATCCTATTGATGTTCCTGTTTTGGCACCTGTAACTCCTGCTAGACTTAAACCATCGATAAAAGGAGCCCCTGCCACACTCAAACCTTTCCTCATTGCAAAATGAGATGAAATATAGAGCGACTTAATTTGTAATGAATTGGTAAACATAACACGGGCTGTTGGAAATGGTGAGGAAAAAGAATTGGAACAAAGGGAATTACCCACTTGGGCAATGTTAATGCACAAAACTACAAATCATGCATGAGAAATGGGATGGGATGAAATTCCCAGTGAAATGAAAAAAAACAGATTGCACTGTTGGGGAAATTAAACCATCACATCAGAACAATTCCCAAGAACAAAAATCCTCTGACTGACAATTTTAAGGGCCTGGAATGGAGAAACCAACTATGGAAAAAAGCACTGGCACTAGGAATTCCTAGAGCCATGATTCAGAGATAACCTACTGGTGGTTCTTCTGAGTCTAATTCAAGCATTTCAAAAATGTAACACTCTGAATACTCCAACTCCTCCATCGCCAGCTCCCAGAGAGAGAAATAACCCTTTCCTCCCTCATGGGGATCAATCACGAAACGCAAGGCCAAAAAAATAATAGTGCCCAGACATCAGTTGTGCAATGGCTAAATGAGAATGGCCCTTACATTTTAATTCCTGTAGGTCCTTGGCAACAATTAACATAATTTTTAATTGATACTGGAGCACAAATTTCAAAACTTACACATGCTGATAAGCTATGCATACAACCTGGATGGTAAAAGGTTCAAATTACTGGAGTTACAGGAGCTTGCACTGTGTGCCAAACAGCAAGACTTCATTTATTGCTCCCTGATGAAAAGCTTTTGGCTTTGCAATCAAAGAGCATCATGAAAATATCCTGGGTTTCAATGTGTTGAGTAGCCAGACTTGGCATTTGCCAGATGGTAGTTTGTGGTCTTTTGGCTCAAATGCCAACCCTAACCCTAATAAAAATCAACAGACTGCCACAGTGTGTGTACTCCGTGCAGCCCCAGTACTTCCTGAATCAAAAATCACTAACGTCT